CATTACTGTAATATAGCTTAGTGTTTTAACATTTATAAAGCTTAAGTTATCATTCTGCCTGCCTGCTCCATTACCTGTGGTTCTTGAGCCCATTGCTTCAACCAGAATTTAATGTGCTGAATATTGTCTCTATGAGTCTGTTTAATTCACTTAATGTTCTTCCAACTAACAAAAAGCACTGCTGTTGATGACGTTTAGAAATAATTCTTCGTATCTAAGAAACAGTTCTCATGGTATTGGATGCTTTTTTTTGGTAACATATAGTATTGGATGTTTTGGTGTGCCCTTTTCATTTATATCATATTGAACAGAACTCTCTTGGCAGATTTAATCACTGTTATCCTTGAATGGGCAGTGCTGCGTCTTGTGATGATTCTCTTTCTGTAAGTAATGGCTTTAGGTCATGTTTATATACTATTAGTTGTGAGGACTCAACTGTTAATCAAAATAAGCCCTCTTATTATGATACAAAGAACATGAAGGAAATATTTCTGGAGGATCTTGACAGCCCTACTGCTGACGAGGAGTTGGACGAGGATTTCGAAGATTCAATAGTCAAAGAACTTGGCAGTTCACTCTGTGAAACCCAGCAGATTCATGACCTTCAACCATCCATCGAACATGAGAAATCCTCTTATGACGATCCGGAGAATGCAGAGGAAATATTGCTGGAGGATATTCACAGTTCTACTAGAGAGGAGCCAGAAGAGGATTTTAAAGATTCAACAGTCAAAGAACTTGGTATTTCACTCTATGAAGCTTTGCAGATTCATGACCCTTCTGAACCCTTGTGTGTCAGGAATTCCATTTCAAATGAGGAAAGTATATGCGACAAATTGGAGGTTGTGCCTCTTTCCTTTGACACAGATGTGCTTGAGGTCTTGAACAAGCATGCAACAATCCTCTGCTCAGAACTAGCGCAGTCATATCTGATAAATGCTGATGCAGGAGCTGGATTATCGTGTACGATGGTACAAAATGAGAACTCTTATAAAGCTGAATCTGTTGCATTTGTGCAACCACTGCCTGTAAGTCCCAGTTATCTATTAACATTCAGTTTTATTGCGCAGTTTTTGTTTTGCGTTGACAAAGTCCTGTGCAGTGATTTCTGGCTATTTTGATGATTTTTCCAATTAATTAAATAGAAATCATATTGATTGTTGACTTAATTTGATAAGCTGTTTAGCGAGAAATCTGGAACTATGTCTATTAAGTACGTTCTTTTTTTTGCATGCAATTTTTCAATATGGTTTTAGCTTCGTTGTTCATTATTTCCCCAATTATCTTTAGGGTTGTTTTTTCTTCACTTTCAATCAGATTGAATGTGTCTACAAGATTATGAATCTCTAATTAGATGGAAACTTTAATTACAATAAATTCTTATGAGTAACGAGTTAAATTTGATGGGTAGCCACATTATTTTCACTATGGTGCATGGATTTTTAACAATTTGACTGACATGTTATCTAAAATACATTCCTTTACTGCCTTCCTATTACCAATGCTACCTTTATTCATTGCTATGTTTGATTGTGAAGAGCATATACGCTTTTAAGTGAAGCTATATTGTCACAAAGAAGCATATCTTCTCCCTCACAATATTAATACTTGGTTTGTAAATTTGGTATTGTATTTGGTGTCAATTGAAATGCAAATAGTAATCTTCTGAAAAAAAATGCATATCTTCTCCCTCATAAACACATGAAATCATTGTCTGTGCAAATGGTATGTCACAATGGATAGATGATATGATCTGTGTCCTAGTTTTAACCTTCTCCTCTGTTTAGGAAGATGATTTTTGCCATCATTTTCTCCATTTTTATGATTTACCTACTCGAAGTCTGTTTATAGTTTGTTGAACGAAATTCACTTTGTTAACCTTTTTTCCCCTTTATTATATCTCATTATGCTCCAAAGTTATCCCAAGGACAAGAAAGAAGAGGGTTTTCCCTCCTATTCCAATGAGAGAAATGAAAGATGAGAACAGAGATGTTAGAAAAAAATGATGATAATCAGAAAACAGGAATGGGGATTATTATAAGCTTTGATATATTGGGTACATTATGGGTCTGGTTTTAGGTTATGGGTTAGAAGTTTGAGATCTTCGCACTAAGTATGGAGTCAAGTGCAGGAGGACTGATGGTCCTGAGTTATGCTATACAATGTGCCTGGAGATTCCAGCTGAAAATGGTCCTTGGTCAGGCTATGTTTGAGATGTTTGTCATATCTATGCGAAACTCGGACCTATCAAAATGTTCTTTTGGGGTTGAATATACAAGGATCCATGATCTTTGTTTTCTATGGGAGTTGGGGCCTTGTTTGGCTTCTTTGGGGACATCGCTTTTAATGCTTATCTTCCCTTGCAGGCAGACAGTTCCAAATTTGATTTTTAAAGCTGTTTTTGAGTTTTCCCCCTACTTTTGTGCTTCATTAAATGTATAAAACCCAAAGGTGAAAATTTCGTAGTCCCACTACCCTAACCGACACCCTGCTTCTATCCACTTCCTACAATCCCTGCATATTTTTAGTCTTTGGATTCCTCCCAGTGTATGATTGTGGGGTAGTTTTCACATACATATAAGCGCTAGTGATAACTTTCATCGACCCTTTCTTTGCTTTTGGTTTTATACATTTGCAAAGCTCATATATCTGTTATAACCTTCAGATTCCTCATGCTCAGATATACAAATGTGGGCTCGGTTGCATATAGATACACCCTGATGATAGATGATTTCATCTCCTGAAAGGGGCATTTGATGTTTAGGGTTAAATTTTGTGGCATTATGCTTCACTGATAGGTTTCTACATGTCGGGTATGTCATCGACCTTGACCCTAGTGCATGCTGTTGGGTGGCATCTAGTTTAATATCAATAATAATTGGACATCACTCCTGTATTGCTCGATCCTTGCCAGTTAGTCTCATAGTTTGTTTTATATATTGCAATGCAAAGCGACATGACATCATACTTGGTGGGTTGGATCGAACATGCAGTAAGATGGTTCGACAAGATCACACGGTATCATGCTTGGTTCGGTCAGGTTGAACTAATGGGAAGCTGGATATGAAGTGCTAAATTTTGTGTCAAGCCATTTTATCTCTCTTGTTTGTTTCTGTATTCTCATTGAAATCCAACTTGGACTTAAATTAATTGACCAGCAGATCTGGACATATCTCAGCTAATACATTTATCGAGGTCCAACTTTATCTTCTGCTTAAACATGCTTGTACACTTTTCTACCACAATGGATTCAACATAATACCAAGGACCGATGTATAACACAATTATATTATCTGTTAGATTAGACTATATGGGATGTTATTTCAAGAGCAATTATATGTCCCAAATCGATGTAACAAAATCCAATTTGGAGTATTGGTAGTATTAAGAGTATCGATTAAAATTAATTCTCAAATCACTAATTTAATGTGAACATTCTACTTCATCTGTATTGCAACTAATAACTCTTCCTGATTTTTCTTTTGTAATTCAACTGATATTTATTTGCCTTGACATTTCATCCTATATATACTTCAGAACCTTTTTGTTTTTGACACCACACATTAGTAAAACAGATATAATGGCTATTAAAATTAGTGCTATTCATATTATTTTTTTGTCCTGTAACATATCTCAGCAAACTTTTAGTTGGATACTTTATGTCAGTTGAGCATGTTTCAATTGCTAAAAGAACGTTCATCCTTTCATAGTGAGCGAATTCATCATTGTTTATCTTCGCTGGTCATTAGATTTGAAGTTTATTTATTCATTCTTAATTCCCTGATATAATAGCTCGTTGCAAAGAAAAGGGGAGAGGAAAAAAAACACAAGAAAAGGTACAGTTTGTTCTTTGGACTACACCCAAATAACTAAGGACTATGTTTGCTTTCACTGTTGTTTCCTCAGGCAATGACAAAACTCATACCTGCACTGAAAGGAAGTCGCGCCCAAAATGGAATCCATCTGGATACTAAGCTCAGTGTGAAATGGGCACCAGAGGTTTATGATCCACCTATAACCTCTTCATCCCACACTGTTAAGGGGCACTGGAGCCATCACCACCACGGTTCCAAGGCAAAGAAAGATTACCTCGGCCACCACAAGTACAGCAGAGGAAAGTCATCCAGAAACAGTATCCCTGAGAGGAAACGTTCACATCGGAGAACTACTTCCAGCAGTCTAATAGATCCTCGGGTCTCAAGGTAGTTCACAGCTTCATCTTCTCCGAGTAAATTAAGGATTAATTTTACCATAACACCCCTGGACTTTAGGGCATCTCAAAAAATCTTCGTGAACTTTTAACCTTTTCATTGGACCCCTGCTTATACTTTGCAAATAACTAAATTGTTTTTGAGAGAAAAATTCCCAAATTTTGTCATTTTTCTTTTATAGGAAACGTACTCTTCCCCGTAAACTTTTGGGGTTTTTACTCTCTCTTAATGATTTTTTATTTATTTGCAAATTACATGTGAGGAGTTTGTGAGAAAAGTTTGAAGTTTAGGGGGGTTTTATGAGACACCCAAAGTTTAGGAGGTTATGCGAGATAAAGTTCAGGAGGGTCATGTGGAGTCCAGATCCTCTGCAACCGCGCTTGTAGAGAATGCCTATCGATAGTTATGTGGGCCAATACTATTGGTTTGTTTCAGTGGGGCCCACCATAAAAAGTTTTTAAGACAATGTAGATAAAGAATATAATTCATGGGCCACAGTGGAAGGAATAAGATCGTAATAAATGGAGGAAGGACATGCCGAAAAACTTGGTTAGGAGCTGTTAGGAAGGATATGGTGACAATTAACTTAGTTGAAGAGATGTCCCTCGATGCTCAATGGAATCATGTTTCTGGTCAAGAATTCTATTTGGACTTGACTGAATGAATGCTACTCTTCCACTTGATTCCATTGAGGGCTTTCTTTTTGACAAATGAATACTACTTTTTCCTATTGTCTCAAGAAAACTTTTTTTTGTTTTGCCCAGAACGTTTTTTTGCCAAAACCCTTTCGTAGTGTCTAGTTCGTCTAAAATTATAGTAGATGGGTTTGAAACGTCACTAACATGTCATATTTTTTAAGAACGGATTACTAAGCAATAAAATAACCGGCATTGAGGGACCTCATAAGTTCTGGGTTCTTCCTTTTTCTTTATCTTTTTCCCTCTTTTTTTTTGTGTTGGTTTTTGTTTTTGTTTTTTTTTTGTTTTGTTTTTTGTGGTATCAACCAAACAGAGGATTGACCTTCAGATTGTTTTCCACCCATAATTAATAGGCGAACCAAATGTGCAAATATCTTTTTCAGGAAACCCCTGAACATCCTTGGAGATGGTTTTTTTATGATGGCATGGGTTTCCTATTATTTTAGTCAAATAACAAAACCGCCGCCAAATGTCTTCTTCATTAATATAATACACTTGGAGACGGCATCTTGTTCCTTATTGTACTTGTTCTTCTTGCCAGGTTGCAAGAACTCAGTGTCTTATAGGCCGCAGCTACCACTGAATAGTTGTTGTCAGTCGAACATTGAGCCCTTCTGGAGTCATGACTCTCATCAAGTATGGAAGCGGCTGTTACATGGAGTCACTTGCTGCAGTGCGACTTTCTGTCGCTACGGCCACTTGAATGGGCCTGATGTTTGAAGCGATTCATTTGGTTACGAGGTTCTACTACTATTTGAAATTACTGCTTAATTTCCGGGTTATGATCATTTTTGCTGCAATTTGGAGACAAAAAAGATTGTTTCATTAATTGTTATTGTATTATTTTTGGAAACTGGAAAACATTTTTTCTAGACTTGCTGGTACCTTCATTGTATTGTTAATAACAAAACCTCCACTTTGGATGAGGTAAGTAAAAACTCAGACATTGCTCTTCTTTTAATTACTTTTTTGATAATCTTGGGCTCAAACCTGCAACTAAAATGTCTATGAAACCTGCGACTTCTAATCAACTCAATAGCAGGCGTACAGTCACTTGTATTGTTGGGGCAATCGTTTCTGTTTAGTTGTTCTTTTGGTTTTTAATTTTTGGTTCTTTAAGTTCTGTAGTAACTGTTTGTTCTTTTTTATGCTTTCTAAAACCGTTGTTCCTGTTACATATTTCACACTGAGCGCGACCGTAGATTAACTGGACTACGGTCGGCTGGCAGAAACACAAAATCGGGACACGACATATGGGAGGAAAGCACAGTTGCATATGTTTATGTGGGCTTATATTTATGTAATGTATGTCTATTCAGTCTTTATTTCTTAAGTAAATACTTACTTTTACAAAAATCCTCCTGTATTTAGGATGAATTGAGTAATTCAGCAGAGTACATTAAAGGTCCCTTCAACTACATCAAAGCTTTAACGTTATGGTGGTGGTTGAGGGTTATAATTCTATTCTTCAAGATGCATCTCTGGCTAAGCATCCTTTCTATAGGCTGTAACCTGAACTCTTGTAGTGGTTCCTTTTTTAAACATGCTTTAGAGTCGTGGGTTATTTTGATATCATATTTAATGTTTTCTCACTACGGTGATGCATTTAGAAAATTTTTCTTAGAGGTGTATGGGTTGATGAAAAAACGGCCTACTAATTTGTAAATGCTAAGTGCAAATTGTTTAAAAATTCAAGTAGAAGTGCAAATATTTTAAACTACAGGGGCAACTTGTAATTGTGGAAGGCTCTAAAAGGTAATCTCTTGATTGCTAGGGATGCAATTACCCCCAACTTACCATATGCAACAGCCCCTACTTCACTACACCAAAATTACAGAGTTTTGACGAGGGTTACAAGTTTCAGGTTTACACTTGACAAATCTGTATTCTGAATAGTTTTCCTTCATTTAAATGGTGAACAAATTCTAGTATTCTTGAAACAGTGTGTAAAATGAACTTCCCATAAAATGCAATTATAGTGTTTGAAATCGTTTTTCTTAGGGGTATCCATTTGGGCCACCAACCCAGACCCAACGGGGCCAGCACCTAGCCCGGACCTGGCTGGGTCAGTGCCTGACCAGGATCCAATAAAAGCCCGAAAACTTAGGCCAGATCTGGCTTGATCTTCGGGCCCAGGTCCGGTTTCGTTCGGCGAAACCAGCATCGAGCTCGTCCCGGCTACTTAGAAATAT